TGTTACATAAGGTTTGTTTGTTTTTTATTTTGAGGAAAATTATGGAACTAGTATACCTGAAAGGATGTATTTATAACATTCATAATTGTATAATTTGCACGCATCTGCATAAGTATCTATTGTGTATCATGCAAGTTAATATACATACATACATACAAACTCAGATATTGTTACCAGGAGAAACTATTTAGATTAGGCTAAATAAGTAAAATATAAAAAGAAAAAAAAGGAAATCAGTTTGTGTAAATTAGCAGGAACATACTCTTCTCTGCAAAAAGTTCAGTTTATGTGGATTTGTATTCAGCTGCAATACTAGAAGAAGACTCCCCTGACTGTGCAACACAGCAGGCATGTCATCCTCAGAAATCTTTACAATTTCCAAAGATCCCGAATGTCATAGAGCTACTTTTTTCCTTTAGCATTAGGAATACGAATGTTTATTCGTAACGCTATAGTGTCCTAGTCACCGCTTAGGTGACTGGGATCCTGCTGCCAAGGTTAAAAAGGTGATTTTACTTAGCTTTTCTCCCTCACTGCCTCCAGTGTGCAGCTTCTCTTCTTTGGCTGGGATAATTGAGATGGATGATCTCGGCCAATTCATTGGAATGCATTGGGAGGCTAGTGCGCATGCGAGGCTAAACACCAGGCCAATCAGATGGTCTTTCTGAGACTATCTGATTGAAATAGTGGAGTTTTACTAGTCACTATGACATCCAAATTATTCTACACACTATCTATATTATAGCTAATCTATATTATAACTATAATAATTCTGTTCTCCAAAAATGTCCTACTGTTATTCATGTACATACAGAAGTTTTATTTCAATCGCTCCACTTTTAAGATTTTCACCAAAATTGTTATTTCTAGAAATGGCACTTCGTAATTACAAAATGTTTCTTTCTTTAATAACATACAACTTTTTTTTAAAGTTCTTTTTTGTCTCCCGATATCAACAGGGAAGATATGAAGCAAATCATGGAGAAGCTATTTCAATCACAAAGGCATTGGTGAGGGGTATATTAATGACAATGGGATTGCTCTCCCTCCCCCACTGTGACACCACCAGCAGAGCTTCTTGTGCTAATCAGCAAAATGGAGGAAGAGAGTCAAGTTACATTCTCTGCAAGATCTGAATGATTACTTTCCTCCCAGACAGAAGCCACACAGCTGTAATTTTTACACAGCTCAAAAGTGATAAGATTGTTGTGTCCATCATTTTTAGCCAACCCTCGTTTTTTTCCTATAATTTCTCCTGCAAGGTAAAAAAGTGAGAAACATATATCACAATACACAATTAATACAAATAATACTTTGCCTAATTTAACAGTTATCCCAAGTACAGTAAGTTTCATATTTTCTGACATTTTTAAATACCCAACTATTGAGATGTATCACTGTATGGATATACTGTAACAATATTCTAGGTATCTATCTCAAGTTAAAATCGCACAGCTACATATTGCCTCTGTTTTTCTTTTCCCTCTATTTTCCAAGTCACGCCCCTTTGTTGCAGTAATCATGGGTGTTTAATTGCCATCCAGTGTTTCTGTCAACTAACAAAGCATCATGTGATATGTGGTTCTAGAACAGTTCTAAGGCTGTCTGTTTGCCACCCCTGTATCTAATTTACACATTGCTCAACTGAAAGTTGAGATTTGACTAAGGAATTCTCACAGAAATAGATATAGTTTTAGCATGATTGGTTGTCAAAATGGCAACAACTCATTGCAGGAAGTAGAACAATATGCATATCAATAAAATCAGTGACAATAGAGTGTATCTCTATTATTAATCAAGTTTAATATTTGTGTAAGGAGGCAGTGCCGTATTAAACAGCCATTGCCTGGTTTTAATTTAAGGTACTGCAATATTTAGTTTCACTTTACTGATATGTCTGCCCATTGATCTGCTATTCTGGTTTTGCCAATATGGCTGCCAGATCTACAATGTCTAGGACAAATGTCCTCTCTTCATGCCCTATACTGCCATGCAGTATATAGCATTCATACGATACAGGATTCCTGACTGCTGAATTCTACATACTGAATGACAGCACTTTTTTTCAATATGTTTACAAGTGATATGTGTCAAGGAAAACCGGTGGATTGGCAAACCTAGCCACTAGCAAAGACGAAATCAGCTATCACCAATCCAGGAGTTGGGATTTATGATGTATAATTACTTTAACATCTTAGATTAGTTTCCAAACTTTAGATAGATGTTTGAATGCAGATTTTATTTAAAGAACAACTGTCACCGAAAACATTTTTAATATAATAATCCTTTTATGAATTTTTATAATTAAATATATATTTTTATTGAAGTATATGTGAAAAAACGTATCTTTAGCATATGACAGGATCCTTCAGCCAAATACATACACCTTGGTCAGACAGTGTTTGAAAATGGACAGTTATTTTCTGTGGTCTTTCCTTTAAATAAAATCTGTTACTTTTGAAATCTTGATGGAAGGATTACTATATAAAAAATAGTTTTGAGGTGAAAGTTGTCCTTTAATCCCTTAAAGACACATTTTCCGTCACATTTTCCTTTTAATTCTGAAGCTGTATCCTTAAGGTACTAAATTGTACCTGTCCTGGCACACACAACTTCATTTAATGTATATGGTTTTTAATTGGATGCGCTCCTTAATGTGTTTATAATACAGGGCCACATTTTTGTATTGAAAGGGTTAGAAAGACAATAAATGAACATTCCAAGTACCATAACAACTTAATTAGAATTGCTATGGTGTAAGAAGGAACCAGGCGCCAGCTTACTTCAAGGGATTAAGTAATGGTTTAACCACAGTGTCTTCAGTCTTTTCTCAATCTGTTACGTGCATAGGGTGCCACTCACAGGCTGAGTAGATCAGCTGATGGTCTCAGCCTATCAGCGCCGCCTGGTCCAAGGCTTCCTGAAGCTTTCATGAGATGTTGCCTCAGGATTGCGCATGGTCGTGTTTATTCTGACATCAATAACAGGTGAACCAATCACAGTCCACCATAGCGTATATATATATACTTCAGGGTATCCCTTGATTCCTTGGCCGGTTGGGGTTTCCTTATATCGAAAGTGTATTACTAAAAAAAAAATGTGTTAACCCACCTCAGCTCAGAGTTAGGGAGATGCTCTCTTCATGGGAGATGCTCTCTGCATGTGCTCACCATTTCCATTGAAAAATCTGTGGAATATTAGTGAGCAAGCTTCTATCCAAATAACTGGACTTGAAAAATAACTGCTAGTTCACAGGATATGGTCTTCTGATTGCAGGAAATAATATTCTACTTATTCTTGGAAGTAGTTTCCTCAAAACCCATGTTTTTCGATCAGCGGTAAATTTCAATTTAGTTTTAGTCAAAGTCTTTTGACTAAAAGTACACTTTAGTTTTAGTCATATTTTAGTCATCTAAATTGTTTAAGTATTAGTCTAGTTTCAGTCACCTAAATCTCCAGTAGATTTTAGTTGACACAACTAAAATCTAATGGGTTTAGTTAAAGCCTCTATTTGTCTCTTTTGCCCCTTCCCCAAGCCCTCTGTGTCTCTTTGTGTCCTTTGTGCCCCTCTTGGTGTCTCTCCCCCAAGCCCTGGTCTGCCTCTTTTTGCCCCTTCCGCAGCCCTTTGCAGTGTTTATTTTAGCAGCAAATTTCAATTTAGTTTTAGTCCTAGTCTTTTGACTAAAAAGCCATTTTAGTTTTAGTCGTATTTTAGTCATCTTAATGTTTTAGTTTTAGTCGTATTTTAGTCAACTAAATTTAAAATATTTTAGTTTTACTAAAATTTGACTAAAATTGTTAGTCGACAAAATTAACATTGTTCTCGATACAAATACATATCTACTAACCAACATTTTATTTTTGTCTTATTGTTGTGTGGATGCAAAGTCATAGACAGGATGAGTATAGCAGTTTGTATAGGAATTCCTGAGGTAGATAAAAGGTGCCAATTCTCACATGTTCCACTTTTTGGCGGGAGCTTTCTCTGGACCCTAAAATTAATGTTGCATTCAGTTTAGTGCCCAGGTTGAGTTTTTTAGGATTGTCTTTACAACATGTTAATTGAACAAACTATTCAAAGACTTCCCAAGTTGTTAGTTATTTTCCCACACTCTCAGCAGTTGGTTGTCTGTGTTACATGTCTTGGATCTTGGAAAATCTGTCATTGTTTATGATGTGATAATGGTTTATTGGTGGCTAATATTCCTACACTCAATACTGCTAAGCTGTATTTACAATTCTCTCCAAACACTTTCCTAATTCTCTTCTTTTACTTTTTTATTATTGCTTTCATCTCTTGTAATGAGGAGTTCTAAAATAATATAAATGTATGTATGTACAAGAATCATATATGTTTCTGTTAGTAAAATACTATTTTGTTGGAAGCACCTAATATGTTTGCAATTTTTTAGGCATGACCACCACACAACATCTTCTGTGTTCACACTACCAGAATATTTAACTCTGGGCTCTCTATTAGTATACAACAATGACACTGTGCAAGACTTGGTACCTTCAGATTTTATTTTTTGTTTTTATATATAGTACACTCATAGATTGTCGTATGTCATGTTAGATTTAGATTACCCTGAAAAATCTATATTATAAATTATATTAAACAATTCAGTAAATACACCTATGTAAAAAGGAAATACCACCTCCCGTCTCAGTTAATTGAGAGAAAAATTTAAAATTAAGTTGTTATGGTGTCAGGAAGTCCCAGGAGCTGGTCTTCCTTTAGGGGTTAAACCACTTACAAACTGTTTCACAGTCTCTTTTCCAGTACTGTTTTACTCTGCACCCTCCAACATCTGCTTTTTGAAAATCTCTAAAACGGAAGCCATCGGTTGGCTTAGAACAGTCAGCTAACGCTCTAAGCCAATCAGTGGCAACCGATTCGTAAAAGACATCTTGAGAAACAAATTAATATATATCCCTAAGTATATACCATGGCCAGTAGGGAAGCTGGCTTTACATTTATTTGTATCCAATATAGATGCACTATTTTAAGTCTAGTCTTTACATGACAGAGTGTTTCCTATATACGAATGTTTGCCATTTTAGTAGGCCAGGGGATGGAGGATTAACCCCTTAAATCCTACTTTATTGAGGGAGGTGGGCACAGGCCAGGTTCCCACGGGATATTAAGTGGTTTGGCTATTATTTGTCTATAATAATCTGCATATCTCTGGAACAACAACATCATTGTTGTGAGTTCCTAAATTACTTTTATTTTACCGAGTGCAACTTCAGTTCAGAGAAATTCCTTTGTGAGTTCCATATTAACTAAATTCTGTTTACACCTGTCTGTCAGAGGTTGTCTCCATGCTACCTAGCAGACGCAGTAGATTCTTGAGTAGAAAGACTGGAATTCTCAGACTTGGAATGTAAATTGGGTGGGTGGGGGAAGCCCTGGAAATTTCAGGTAATTCCTTTCTGATGGAGTGACTTGAAACACTGTTTATTTACTGGTTAGTTGAGGGCGGAGGATGGGTAGTAAGCAAGCTAGCAACACATTTCATGCCTCAGACTCAGTAGGTCTAAAAGCGTTGCATAAGCTCTAGAATGTTCATTTAAACTGTGACAATAGAAATAAGAGGCAAACTCTTACTTATCACTTGTTAGCACTGTGTTCTACATTTGATAGATTATAATATAAAAATCTTAATTTATTACAAAATGATAAAAGAAAGCATGAGGTGGATATTGATAAATTCAACAGTCGTCTAAAATACTGTACATGTGCAAATATAAACAATATGATTCAATTTAACAGATAGACGTCCAAAGTGACAAGAGCATAACATAAGGTCAAACATCATCTATTATTTTTTGGGAAACCTCCATATGCATGCATTTTTTCAAAGGTCAAGGGGCTGTTACCAAGAAAAATGTTTTGGACTTTGTCATGAGTATGCCTCACATAAATCAACAGATAAACATAAGTCAGGGTGTACAAGGGGGATTTCCTGATTACTGGCAGTTTACTTAAAACTTTAAGGACAATAGTCAATGCAAACTATATTCTTAATCTTAAAAAAGAACTCTGAAAGAAAATATACATGTACGATTTTAAAACTATTGTATATTGGGCAAGTCTGGGACCAAGTTATGAAAACGAACATGTTAAAAAAAATTTCTGTGATATTTGCTCTATAGTTAGTACTTTCGCCTATAATTGCTTATGGTGCTGATTGATGATTATTATTTTGACCTCATTATGAAGCCTAAAATATCATTTTGACCCCCACAATTTAATAGCCTCTAAGTTCCAGACCAGTGATGGGGAACCTATGACATGGGTGCCACCTTGGCACTTAGAGTCCTTTGAAGTGTCAATAGGTGTCTGATTACAAGTTAGTCTATAGGCCCAATTACCCTTGTCACGCTAAGACACTTGAGGCCCCAAGACAGTATCAACACATAACCTGTTGCTAGTACTGATAACAGCTCACATAAAGCACTTTGCCACTGCAGACAGGTGTACCCCAAATGGGCAATGGATTGGAAAGGGAATAGAGAGCAAATTAGTGGGGCAACTAATACTGTTGATTTTTAGAAAGAACACAATTGTGAAATGGTGTGATAAAGAAGAGCTCTGCTAATAAGTAAGAGACAGGCCAGAGAGGACTACTGTTTAAAAAGGAACTAATATGGTGGTAAAAAAGGTGTGACAGGGAATAAGGGACTGATTTGGATGATGCTAAAAGGTTACTGACAAAGTATGATGGATGTGTGAATATCAGAGTAAGTGAGTACATAATGAAAGAGAACTGGAAAGTTTAGAGAAGGGGGTTAATGGGGGATATTCTATGGACATATAAGGCAAATTCAGGGCATAGGGACAGAGAATAGGAGGGGAGACTATTATTAACAGTGGGTGAAGTGAGTTCAAATAATGAGAAATGCTGCTTTATGTGGAGGGGCAATAACTGATACTGATGTGGGGATTAAGATGGAATAAAAAAAGGAAACGCTAGTAGGGAGAAGCGGGAATTATCCTGTGGTCAGAAGGCAGTAAAGCAGAGTTTGAGATGGGGAAAGGGTTAACAAAAATGGATTCCGGCACTTTTAGTTCAATTACTCTTTTATCAGCAGCAGATTCTTTTCTGCATAAGATTTCTCACTTGATTTGGCTGTTCTAGGCCCTAAAAAAACTACTGATTACATTGTATTGTTACGCAACCCACTTCTAACATGTAATTCACAGGGGAAAAAAAAGCATCATGGTTTCAAAATGTCACAAACAGAAAACCTAAAAGTGCATTCTATATACATGAAATGGGATAATAACATCAAGGCCTAATGGACTTTTCAATATTATCATAACAAACTATATAAAACTATTTAATCCATAACACATAACACTATTCAATCCATAACACATGAAAATGGCTAATAATGTATCCCAAGAATGGTTAGTGTAATTGCTACATAATTTTATTTTCCATTTTAATTACCGCATACAATATTGCATTTAGAAATAAAAGTGTAATACAGCTTTATCATAGAATATATTACTTTCTAAATGTTTAATTAAAGTGTTTGAATGGCTAAATGACTTTGGCACTTTGTGTCTGTGTTGATGATGCTAATTTTTTTTTTTTTGCAATTCTTTATTTTTATTTTATTTGTGCATATGATTAACAGGTGAGTTTGCTTTGCCACAACAGCATGAGCAAATCGAACTTTACACACATAAGGATATCAAAATGGCATTTTAGGCATTGCACATTTTTATGTTAGAATATTAGGATACACATAAATGTCTCAGCGACATGTGGTACAGGATGGACAAAACAACAGTGACCTCAGTGGCGTAAGATGGGTGTTCACATCAATTATCAACGTTTTAGTGTTATGATGTTGGTGTAGTTGTATTCAGCTACGCTTATCTAAGCTTGAGAGAGGGGCATGCGATCTATACAGTGACATCAGGTCTAAATGGCCATTCTTTTATCCTGCGTAAGGTTATATGTCTATCTATCCGAGTAAGTTAGGTAGTAAACAATATTTGTTATCCTTGCTAAGATTTATCTATAACATAAAATAGCTCCGTTAACAGTGGGAGTAATGAACAGGCTATAACAAGGTTATGTGGGGCTGGGATAAACACTTCCCAGTGTTTGGGTACACATAGTTCTGCAGTTTGTGTAGTGTTATATGTGCCCTACTAGATGTAGGTTGAACAAAGGCATAATAAATCACGCGTGTCTCAGTCCTGCAATGCAATGGTAATTAACTAAATGTGGAACACAGAAATGTAGGTTTAACTAAGACGCACGCTCGTGTTGGGGAGACAATAGGGGTGCCGTCTGGTGGCAACCATGATACCGTACAAGGGCATCTACTGCAAGGTGAGTAACCTGAGCCGCGGGTCTTTACCCGCTTTGACAGTGTCCCTTTGGGGGCGTATTGTCCAGCTGCCCTCACGTTTTAGGGCATCTCTTTCAGCGTGTGTCCACCAGGTGTATAGAATTGTCCAGCTTGGGGGGAGTCCTCGTTAATACCAAAGACTCTGGGTCAGTGTCCCTCATATGAAGATAGTTTTCGCTTTAGCAAGCGGCTTATCTGATCAGCAATTTGTTTCCCTGTAGGACCGGGTAATCAATCAAGTGGTGAGTGCCACATACGGGTCGGGTGTACGACCTGTCGGTATGAACGGGATGGATCTCTCCGGGTCCCATGAAAGTTGGTGTCGGGGGGTAGCGCTCTTCTGGCCTGCCTGGATGAGGGAGTCCGGCGGTAGGCCCAGTGCCTGTAGGAACGGAGCTGCATCGGTCAGTTCCCTGATTTGGTAGGAGTCCGGCCCCTGCTGTACGGTGAGAACGTGGGTCTTCTGCCATCGGTATTTAATGTCTCTTTGGCGGAGAAGCATGGTAAGTGGCTGGAGGCATCGCCGCCAAGCCAGGGTGTCTCTTGAGAGGTTGGTAAAGAAGCTCACCGCCATCCCCTCAAATTGGTACGGTGTTTTGCCCCTCAAGGCGGCTTGGATTGCTATTTTGTCCTGTCTGGTTTGAAAGGTAAGTATAGTGTCTCGTGTGGCTTCGGTTGGCGCTTTTGGCGATTTGGGGATCCTGAATATGTTGGCAAGGACAATCTTGTTAGCCTGTGTGGGTGACAATATAACTGCAAAGAGGCGCTTGATCACCTGCGGTAGTTCTGTGTCCGGGATCGTTTCAGGGATCCCTCTGACTTTCAGATTATCCTGTCTCCCGGCATCTTCCTGCTCCGCCATGCGGTGTTCATGTAGCTTTTGTTGCCGTTGGAGATCTTGCACGTTTTGTCTGAGTTCCCAAATGTCTCGGGTAACAGTTTCTGTTGCACTCTCTAGTGTGTTTAAGCGAGTTGTTAGCCCCTTCAGGTCGCCCCGTAGTGCCGCAATATCATTATGCAGTTCTTTATGATGGTCAGCAAGAAGCTGCGTGAAGACCGATATAGTCACTGGTGCGGTGTCTGGGTTGGTGTTGGTCGGCTGTGTCTGCTTTCCCAGCTTGGGGGCTGGCATATACTCCTCTCCGGAGAAGTCTTCGGAAAAGTCGGAGCAGCCGCCGTGGAGCGCCGCCATGTTGGTCTCATTAACTTCGCGGGCCTGTCTCCACATGTCGCCGATTGTAAGTCCCTGGGTGTTTTTTTCTTTTGGTGTTTTTTTTGTTTTTCGCCCCATGTCACACAGGGGTGTGTGGTGTATCTTTGCTGTGGATTGAGGGTGCCCAGCCTGGATTTTTCCCGCAAGTTTTCAGTTTTTCTCACGGAGTTCTATGTCCGTGCGACCGCTTGTCTCGGTGGTCAAGCTCCGCTCCCTTGATGATGCTAATTTTAAGGCAGGTTTCAGTTAACTGTTAATTCAAGTAACAGTAGGATATCAGTTCACACACAAAATGGAGGAAAGGCACACATTTGTGGTGGGTATAGACTGAAAAGTTCAAAGTCTCCCCTTAGCATATGTATAAAGAGCTCAGACTTGTTACCCATTTCATTTTTGCATAGACTGCCATCTCCATTCATAAACACAAGGGCCGCAGTGTTTGTAAACAAACGTCTTTCTTTTATTCTGCTTGCTTGGTAACTCACTTCCTAGTAGAGGGGGAAGGAACGGTGACCTATAGTCTTGCCTTTGTCTTATGTGTCCTCTATGGGTGTATATGCCCGAGGGTGATTTGGGATAGGCTGTCCAAAGAGTGGTTGAACAGCACTGACCACAGTACAGAGGGAATGATCTCTAGGTGGACGGGGGTTGGGTAATGTAAAAGGAGTGCGGAATTTGCATTGATGAAATTCCAAGAATTTGAGAGGAGAGGAAGAGTGTTAGCAAAAGGAAGCAATCAGTTGTTCGTTGTCATACAATAATCTGCCCCAAGAAACTGGTCTAATGATGACTTGGCAAAGTAAATGGTCACTTAACTTTAAAAGCATAAATGAAAATCTTGATCTTTTAAAATCCATGCAACATATGTAGAATATGATTTAATTTTCTAGTTCTAATAATAATGTAAACAATTTCATTAAAAACTGGGAATTTCTGGGATAAAATTTCTCAGTGATTATTAGCGGAACATGATATTTTCAAGTTTACTGCTCAATATATTACATCTGCACAGTATTTATAAACAATATTTAATATGAATAATAAGCCTTTTTACCATTCATGTTTATGGCATAAAATATGACATGACCCTTGCCTCAATCAGTTTATCAGTTTCTCCCTCAATGCCATGTTGAACTTTTTTTTTTTAATCTCTGATCTTCCCAGAATGCCTTTGGCCAGTGATCGCTATGTGGCACCAGATTTACTTAATGGCTGGTAAAGTCCTGGCCACATAGTTGCTTTTTTGGCACTCTGAATATTTTAGCTATGTTCTGGTTTATTTTTTTTTTTTTTAATTCTTTATTTTATTTGTGCTTAGCGTGAACAATCATGTTTGCACTGCCACGATAGCTGGTGCAAGCAAGTACGGAAACATACATTAACATAGGTATGGCATTGAAATACATAGCACATTTTTCTTTATACTCAAGATAGGAAACATGTTAGAGGTTAAACACTGAATCATGGTTGCATAGAAGATCTGCCTGTCTTGATATTTAGTAAAAGATATCATGCAGCCTATGGGGATTAACATGCTAGCTGAACATAGCTGAGATTTGCTTGGTACATAAGGTCACATCACTGCATTATCTGAGCATATTATTACCGTGCTGCATCAGGGGCTAACAGATTGTATACGTGCAGTACAGTTATATTTGCCTGAGTAGGTTAATTGTAAATCTGTTTAGACATATTAGCTAAGTTAACAGGGTGGAGAGATGGAAGTGCAGGCTAAAATTGAACTCATAGTTAAAATAGATTGTGTGAAAGAGACAGGTTTGCTAGGCAAGATGGCATGGTTAGTGTTGCATAAAAAAGAAAAAGGAAAAAATGTATGCCACCGTGGTTAAAGAACCCTGGGTCCCCGTACAGAGACTCCTCTCCCTCATGAGAGGTGGACGTGATCCTGAACGTTGTTCAGGAGACAGAAAGTAGGCAGCCCCAGTCCCTGTGCAGAGAGCAGCCAACTCCCATCACTGGCAGGTCACAGTTCTGTGTTTCTCAGCTCCTTCTGTGTATAATGAAGCTGTGGTGTAGCTTGTCGGTCGGTATCAGCCGGCCGCAGTTGGGAGCTGGGTATGTGTGAGGTCTTCATAGTGCTCTGCTGCCGTCGTGCATGTGGCTCGGCTTCACAGGATCGTGTCAGCTTGCAGCATGAATACCTTTCGGTCCGCTTTGCCAGTCAGCTGGTCTCCACTCAAGGTCCTTGGTGTCGATTGGAGCACTCCAGGCCGGGTCTCAGGATAGGTAGGTTGCTCAGATGATTTCTCCCTGAGTAGCCCGCGGTGAGCGCCAAGAGCCCCAAGGAGGGGCCTCTTTCTCCGGTCAGGCCCAGCCGCCATCTTAAATGATGTTTCCGCAGTGAAGTCTCCGATTGGGTTAGAGCCCCAGGGTAGGCCGGGATGACCCCCACCGGCCCAGAGGGGGGGAAGCAGGGCCATCACCCCACTGAGTTAGGGGACCCCCATGTTGCAGCCAGGCAGGATAGCAGGGCGGCGGCCGTCCACCCTACTCACCACCCGGACAGGCTTGACTAGGCCTCGGTCTTAGAGCTCCGCGTTCTCCCCAAAAGGGGGGCTCAGAATCGGTTCACTGACTGCTCCCCAGTACTAGCACTTCATAGTGCAGTCGTCTGTCGTGACTCAGCGCCAGAAGTTGCGATTTTGGGATCAATTTGCCTGAGAATGGCAGGAGCTGTTGTGCCATGCGTCTGCTCTGCTTGGCGGTCCGGCCCCGCCCCCCCGTTCTGGTTTATTTTATTCCATCTTTCTGTGTCAACTTCTTTATTAATATTAATTAATTTTAATTAATATATTATTACTAATTGTAATGATGGCATCATTACAAATAATTGGGATTATAAAAAAAAAATGAAAAAAAAAGAAATATCCGTTAAGTATGATGATAATTTTACCACCTTAATTAAGTGCTAGTTAACATAACCTAGTGAAAAAGCAAGAGAAGAGAAAAAAAGGAGACAGGGTGATAAATAGTAGAGAATAGTGGGGTGCGAATAGCACGGTGGGTTTCACTCCAGTTTATAAGCTTCACAATTGACTGCTTGCTGCATAAGGGAGGTCAGCTGCATTCAAATGCAAATGGCGCACAAAACACACCTACAGACTTATTGTTATCTCCTTTGTGTGTGAAATAACAATGCAACTACACCTGGCCAGAAAACAGGTAAGCAACCAACAGTCTAATTACCTTCTGCCACTAAAAATGGACAGTATCTGTATAAATAGAATTTTAAAGGGGAGTGGTAACTTCTTTGGGTTTTTTGGATCGTGTTTACTTATGCCTATATTTAACAAATTTGTATTGAGTATAAAAAAAAAAATAAGATCAATGCTGAAATTCACACCTCTTTACCCTGTAACTCGGCGCCTCTATCTTAACTCCCTCTCAATCTTTTTAGTAACTCTTCACCTGGCATTCGGCATAGAGAGAGAGCGTACAGACAAGTGGAGAAAAAGAAGCAATGTATCCATTTTCTTCCCCTTTCGCAAAGTGTGCCCTGGCTGTGCCTGGATTGAACTGAGTTGTGATGAAGTTTGCTAATTTTTTTTATATAAATTTGAATAAAAATAGAGTATCAGATGAAAAGTGGTAAACACACATTTTTTTTTGGGATATATGACAGTTTCCATTTAATTTCCACATAGTAAAAAGTTTATGGATATATAAATGATTTGAAGTTAAAGGGACAATCTAAGCATCAGAGCCGCTACAGCTTAAAGGAACACTGAAACATTATGAATACAAATGCTTTTAGTGTTTCTGTACCTAGTTATATATGGCCCCCACCCCCCTCGCCCCCTTGTATGTGCCATAAATATGATCAAATAAAGCTTTCTGCTTACATTTGTTGAGTGTCGAGACTTCCCTGCTTGTATCTCCTTCTCCTGCAGCCTGATAGAGGAGGCATGACCTCCTCCGGCGACAGTCCAATCCAATGCTCCTTAAAGGGCTGCATTGGGGACCTGATGCACATTCATTGCGAGCTCCAATGGGAAAACATGGAATCAATGCTTTCCTACTGGGGGCTGCAATGTCAAGTGACCGAGTTGTATTCCGTCGTTACAGTGGAAGCACCTGCAGTGGCTGTCGGTGTAACAGCTACTGGAGTTGCATTTAACCCTTTAAAGCAAACATAAAATGACAATGTTTTACCTTGAATGCTTAAATTGCAGGAACACTGCAGCCATTCCACTTCACTTCAATGAAGTGGCGTTGATCACTTTAGTGGTTCTATAATTTAGTGGTTCTGGTGCAAAGAAAGTTTTTCTGCAGTCTCAGCACTGTAAACACTGGCTTTTCTGAAAAAAAGGCAGTGTTGACATTGCTCCCTAGGACAGTGTTTACATTGCTCCCTCTAGTGGCTACAATTCAGACTAGGGGAGCTTCTTGTTGCTTTCCTGCAATCTTAATTCTGATTGACACAGAGCGGATATTGACGAGCATGCCCAGTTCCCCCCCAACCTCCCCCAATGCTTCCCTAAGTGGAAACCTTAATTTGGCTGAGATCACTAGTTATGATAATCTCTGCCAGGGTGTTACAGCAAGACCCGCATGGCAAGGGAAAAAAGGCGAGTAGAATAGCTTTATTTCAACTTTTTTGTTTAGGGGGGCTTCATAAATCTAAATAGGCAGGTAAACACCCTAACTTAAGAAATACATGTTTGTATGTCTGTGTTTAGAATGGTCCTTCAATTCTAACCCTCTGCCCCCCTTGGTATTGTTTCCTTCCAAATTCAATGAACTAGACTATATAGCTAAAATGTAATTATCACCATAGCCTGCTTTGCGCAATCCTTGATGTTCCCTGCTCCCAGAGGAATACCTGAAAGGTACTATTATTATTATTTATAAAGCGCCAACAAATTCAGTAGTGCTGTACAATAGGGGGTTGAGTGCCCTGCTCAATTGAGCTTACATTCTAGAGGAAGTACTATGTTACTTTAGTTAGGGAAAAGAACTAGCAGAAAGCAGACATATGCAAGCGTTGCATCCATGTTTAAACAAATTGATTAGTTTAAAAATGAATTGATTTGCCCGAATAAAACACACAAAACCTTTTGATTAGTTTTTAATGAATAACACTTTTTCATTCGTTTTGTGATCTGCAGTTAGAATTTCCAGTTATTTGCCTGCCAAGCAAAAGGTTTTCCAAATGAATCGATCTATTTTAAAACTAATGGAAAGAGTTCTTTAATTTGTTGCCAAACTAATTGATTTACACGTCATCTCTCGCCTTGACAAATGCACACAACATCTCTCTCCTTAACTACTGCAATCCACTTCTCAGTGGTCATATGCATTGCCAGCTTGCCCCATTACATTGTATAATGAATGCGTCAGTGAGGCTCTACCTCCTGTGTGCCCGCACCTATTATGCCTCACCCCTTTATCAGTCCTTGCATTTGCTTCCCTATAAGATATAGGGGTCAATTTAAAATTCTGGTGCTTGATGACAAATCTCTACATAATGCTGCTCCTGCCTACCTATCCTCACTAATACACTCGGGCAAAGACCTGCGTCTATTCTCTGTTAATACTCGCACCTTTGATAGCCACCTTCAAGACTTTTATAGGGCTGCACCATTCCTAAGGAACTCCCATCCCTGCGCCTTAGACTCTAACCCAGTCTCCGTTCCTTCAAAAGATAATTAAAAGCTCATATATAAATTAAACTGTTAATTGCTTTCCTCCCCCGCAGCTTGGTAAGCCACCCTGCTTCCTGTCCTGCAACTGTGTCATCCAAAACACAAAAAAACGTCTTAGCCTTTCTAGGGAATTATAGCCATACCCACGTACTTCTTATGCTTCTGTCTATTCTGTGTAACATAAGATCATTTGATGTAAATAAAAGTAATCCCAGTGTGATTCAATGGCATCCAACCATTACCCCCATCTAGTGGCCATCCTGGAGTAGACAACCCTGGCTCAGACCTTAATGGTAAAGCTTTCTTCTAGTCTTTTCTAGGTTAATATGTCTAATCAAAGCTGATGTTGGAAGGATCCCCCTGTTAGGATTGTACAAGTAACTAATTAGAAATATATAATATACAGTGATTACATTAAGAACATGTCTTTTAGTCTTGCCTTTTCTAAATTATTTGAACAGAATCCTCAACACCTCTGTTTGTCTTTCCTTGATCCTTGCTGTGCTAACCAGGGCCTGTCTGCCTAAGACTAAAAGTGGCAGTGACATACACAGGGCACTAGTTATCAGAGAGAGCAAGGACCTGCTGGGGGGCACATTGCTGACAGGGGAGCCTTGTGGCATGTGCCTGCACTACAGATATAATGGTGCAGGCTGTGGAGCTGACACCAAGGAAGCTGTTGAGATCACTTTGTATCGTTTGCTGAGCTTGCACACTATGTGCTGATGCAGGAGGAGGGCAACCAATGAAGAGGGATGCTAGCAGCTTCTGAATGGGCCTCACTCCAGCTTTCCCAGCAAAGATAGTAAAAGGGACACTGTATAGACCCTCATCATGCAATAAATAATAATTATGTGTGTGTTTATAACTGTCTTTGTGTGTGAGATTCTGGATGTGTGTATGAATGTTACTGTGTGGATATGAATCTGTGTGTAAAACAGAAAAAGGTACTAGCACTAATATAAGATGAAAAGAAACTGTTAAATAACACAAAAATTACAGCTGCTATATCACCGAATTCTTATCTTTGAATGCTAGAATTATGAAGTGAAGGTGAAGCGCTGAATATTAATAACCCGTAACAAACGTGCTATAGTGCAGACACATGAGTAACTATACTTTAATGGATATATAAAATTCCAATTGTGGTATGCAGTACCTTAAAAATATGAACAACAAAAAAAATATGTACATAACAAAATAAATTATGTACATAATAAAAAAGATTCTGTGTGTAATTGTTTCAGTAAAAAAAGTAATTAGATGGACATAACTATGGTATATAGATACTTGTATTTTAGATGATATAATGTCCGTTCCTATGAAACTGTGGAATCAGTTAATGTACATAGCAATAATATAACCGAAATGCACATCTATAAAAAGTATATATATATATATACTATAGTTATGTCCATCTAATTACACTTTTTATTGAAACAATTACACACAGAATCTTTTTTATTATGTACAGAATTTATTTGGTTAAAAAAAAATAATATGTTTTTGATTCTTTGTTATTATTTTTGTTAGTATGTCAACCGGATATACTGTTTGGGGAATGAACCGCTAGCTGGAACGCATAATTTATGACGTATCGGCATACAAACACGTGACCGGAAGTGACGAACGTACCCGGAAACCAACTGAAAGAGAGGCTTGAAACGCTGGGCGTC